CAGCGACAGCCGGCTCCTGCAGCCCACATGCCCTTTCCTGCGCCGAGTAAACCTGCTCTGCATCTCGGCTCACTCCGGGCTGCCTGCACTCGATGGCCAAGTCGCCTCTGCCCTTAGCTCGAGCTGCATCTCCCGCCTCCTCGCTGTGATTATTTGCTCGGGACATGTCTGGTACCTCCGGAGCACTTTTAGCTTGCTCCCCCCCGCGCTCGGTGGGATTAAGCTGTCGTTCTGGAGGTTATTTTCCGCCACCAGCCTTGCACCCAGTCAGACCGGCCGGAGGGAGAGCGAAGCGCTTCTGAGACCCGCGGAGCAGCTCTGCCGAGGCAGGGCAGCGGCGCCCGGTGGGAGTGAGGCGGAGGAGCGCAGCCGAGGTTCCCCCCCGCAGGGGAGGAGAGTGCCCCGCTACCTGCTCCGGATTTCTGGCTGCCTGCATGGCTCCCGGGCGCTGCAGAGATTGTGGGGGCTGCTGCTGCTGAGCAACAATACATTTCTTTGAACTCAACCTCAACTTATACCAGTAAGCAGGGATGGCAACACTACTGGAGCTTTGGAGCTGCCAAGAGAGCCAGGGAACCTGGGTTTTGGTTGCCACTGTCTAATACATGGGAGTAAAATGGAATTTCTTACCTGGGTTTTTCCTGCCTTGGTTCTACTGTGCACCCAACAGCACAGGTGTATCAGGTAAGAAAACGCCTTATTATTCGTTCTTAGACTGGCCTTAGACACCCGTTCTTTCAGTGTGGCTGGGGTGAAAAATGCCACGTCTGGCTGTGGCTGTTACTCTTTCCTCTGCCCGTAGCTCCGGCTCCCACTTTTGCCCATGGATGTTCTCCATTTAAGGGCTAGCACTGCTTGCGTGACTGTTCAGTAGAAAAAGGGGTTTTGACTGAAGAGTTTCCTCAGTGTGCCACATCTTCCTCTTCTTCTTCTTCTTCTAGCAGAGGATGCACTTCTGCCAACTGAGCAGCAGTTTCTTGGGTTAATCAAGGGGTGTGTTTTTACCAGGATGCCTGCAGAAGCCTTGTCGCGAGGCACTTACTCTAAATTGGGGGCAATCACTTTTTGTAATGGCACTGCACATCCCAGCCAGCCTTATCCCCTTAAACAGCTCTGTAGGGGGCCTGCTTGAACATGAAACTCTTCCATAAAACCCAGCACAACCAGTGGGGTACTAAACGAACGTCTTTGCTTAGGGCCTCCATAGGCACACAATTAAACAACTCCAAATACAGCCATCCCTTTCTAATGGGTTCATTAAGTCTCCTGAACTTGAGATAAGAGAAGACTGGCAGAGATCTTAGAAAAAAAGTGTGAAGAATGCCAACCTGTTCTTAAAATAATAAACTGTAAAGATACATGTTTGCAATTCTCAGTCACATTTATTCAGAAGGTGTTAGCTAGGCAACCAGCTATGTTCTCTATATATTCTCTACGGATCTGGAGGCTGTATGTGGAGAATGCTTGCTATGATTATGCAATGAAAATAGAAGGGGGAGTAAAACAGAACTTGCTGCCTGTAAAAACACGCCTCCATCACCCAGAGCGGAGATGGCTGTGGTATTAAAGGGGTCTTCCTACTTCTACTTTATAGACATTATTGATAACTTCAGAGGAGCATAAGATACAAAGTGATAATTGTAGTAAGATGTAACATTGCTGTTACAGTTTTTGGAATTAATTAGTGAGATCTGATTTTTTTTCACTGGAAAGGAGAAGGATCTTGCATTAGAGGAAGTGTCAAGTCAACTGCTCCTATTCAGGACCGACATAATGATTTATCCTATGACTTTGAATCTGTTATCCTGGGTCAGATCCTGACACCCTCATGCTCTGAATCAATCCAGTATTACAGTGAGGGCAGACAAAATACTGTTTATGACCTAGGGACCTCAAGATCTTGCCCATGATTTCAATGATCCTGCTTCTCTATCTGCACTTGGGCTAGCATTAAATATTTTGGTTGAAAAGTGCTATCTAGGTATAAAAGAATGAAAAATAAAGATTTTTAAGGAAGAGTCAGCCTTCTCAGCCTCTGTCTTAAAGGTCTGTTTCTAGGCACAGCAACTGCCAGGATGTGTGCAACCTATAATTTACTGGATAAATTATTTTATATTTGCACCGATTACTTAGTTACTTTACTTTCTTCCTCCATTTACACAATAGTGATGAATTAGTTTTTAGAAACATCTATACTCATGGCAGAGACTAAGGCAAGGCAAATTCTAGCTTGTGAAATTCCAACTGTTCAGTTTGTAGTAGTTTTCCAAATACGCAAAAATGTAAGACATTCAATGGTCAAAGAAAGCTGATCTGTTTAGTACAACAGTTTTCTGAAGATTCAGGATTTAGTGTGGCTATGGCAGAACAGTGTTTAATCTTGTAAAAAGTGAGTAACCTTGCTTATATGTGTACTTTTGATGAGTTAAACAGAACTAAATTTTATCTTTGCATCAGTAAAATTACTCACACATAGATGACCTATGAAATAATTCTCTTGTAAGGGTCCAAGAAGCACATTAACTGCCTTATTCTTTTTCCTTGGAGTTCTCTAATATGATAGGACCTATAATTATTTTTGGCAAGAGACACTTTTATGAAGAGCAGTATTTTATTAATACTGTGGTTTTATAATAATGGGAAAAACTGCCAATAGCTACATTTTATTGCTCTGATTTTGTTTTCTAAATGTAATGTGATTCATAGTTATGATGACAGATCCAAACCCACTAAATTCTCGGCTTGTGAATTCCATGGACTATATATTGACAGGTGTAAGCAAAAACATATTCAAAAAAGGAAGAATATTTTGGCGAGTTCTGAACTCAGTGGTATGACATAAGACTTCCCAAAGGCAAAACTACCTATTAAAATAATGTTAAGGTTTGTCAGAGGAGAGAAGTGGGGAATACATGTAGCCTGCTTCCTCACCACATTTTTTAATACCCTTTCAGGGTGCTTGAGAGAGCTGTATTTGAAGCAATTTCTCTGTCATGTGTGCTATTTGACTGAAATGAATGAGCCAAATTCAACCTAAGTCAGCATATCCTACTTATGCCAGTGCTGTTTGCAAGTAAACATTTTGAAAAAGTAGTATTTTTTGGTCTGCTTGAAACAGTGGTTAGTGGCAAGACATTTGGCATTTATATGATTGACAGCTCTTTGGGGTAAAGACTATAGCTTCCACTATTTTATCAGAGTTTGATATGCTGGGGATGCTGCAATAATAAACGTGTCACAGTGAATCAGATCATCTGCTGAAACACACCTAGTGAAATAT